AGCCCGTCCCCCCTCCCCGCCCCAAGCCTTCACCATCCTATTGTCTGTGTCCATGGATTATTTCATATAATTATTATAGTTCTTTTATATAAAATATGTAATATTATCTACTCAATCTTGCATCTTGATTATTTTAATCTATTACACCTAAAGCAATATTTTTGTACCAACTCTTCATAAATATTTTATTTTTATTTTGTTAATTCTCAACCGAGAATATTTTTCCCATTGATTTTGAGAGAGAGTGAGTGGAAGGGACAGGGAGAGACAGAAAGAGATTGGTTGCTACCCGCACTCACTCCAACCAGGGCCAGGGATCGAGCCTGCAGCCTAGGTACATGCCCTTGACCAGAATTGAACCCGAGACCCTTCAGTCCTTGGGCCAGTGCTCTAACCACTGAGCAACCAGCTAGGGCTTCATAAACATTTTAATAGTGGCCTGCTATTCAACAAGCACCGATTAACTATTTCTTTGGTTAGGGATAGTAATATCTTCTTGAACATTATTCTAACCTTTTGTTACAGTAAAACAACATCTTAGGCACTAGTCAACATCTTGGTGCCTAAGCCGTTTTTCTTTCTTTTGGGTAACTTCCTTGGGATAGCATCCTAAAATGAGAGTTACCAGCTCAAAGGACATGAATGCCTTTACTTTTCTTTTCTTCTTCTTTTTTTTTTAAAGATTTTTTTAAAATATATTTTTATTGATTTCAGAGAGGAAGGGAGAGGGAGAGAGAGATAAAAACATCCATGATGAGAGAGAATCATGGATCGGCTGCCTTTTGCAAGTCCCCCACTGGGGATGGAGCCCACACCCCGGGCATGTGCCCTTGACCGGAACCGAACCTGGGACCCTTCAGTTCCCAGGCTGACGCTCTATCCACTGAGTCAAACCGGCCAGGGCCCTTTAGTTTCTTAATGCTGTAAAATTGACAGTACCCTTTATTTTCCCCCCTCTCTTTCCTGCTTAGTCTCACCCTGCCTGCAAAATCCCCGAGATGTCTTCCAACCTCTTCAACATTTACGGGAAGAGTCCTCTGGTTGTTTACTACCTGCTGAACTACGCCACCCTGCGGCAGTGTGGCAGAGACGTGCTGATGACCAGGACGGAAATAACCACGACCCTCCCATATCCTTCCCCGCTTCCTCTTCCCAGAGCATCCAGCCCTTCATACTGCGCCTGGCACATAGTAGGTGCCTGTCAAGGGTGGCCATTGATAGAAGCCCAAGAGTCAGAATCTTGCTCGTTTTAGTTCCACATCGGCCTCATGAACTGGCTGCGGGACCCTGGGCAAGTCGAATTACCTTGTGTAGAAAGCGTCTTCCCGGTACCAGGATGAATGGGCTAACCAGGTCCTCGAACATTGCAGCTCAGTCACACCTCCCGGATGCTCACTGACCCTGGAGTGTGTGTTGGTCAGGAATTTTGGGTGTTTCTCCTAACACACATCCCTTCTCCCAGACACATCAGCAAATTCCTGGCCCCATTGACGTTTATCCTAAAGATCTGGGAGAAAGCTCAGATCTTAAGAAAACAGGTGTGCCATGTGCTGGTGTCCTGAGTCTTAGCAGTTTACCACAGAGGGTCAGATATGGATTCAAACAGACCTGGACTCGGGGACAACTCAAGTGCTTCCCGGCTGAGTGAACTTAGACAAGTTCTAGCTTCTCTCTGGGCCTCATTTTTTCGTCTGTAAAATGGGGATAACAGGACCTGCCTCGTAGGACTTTCGCAGAGTACAAGCGCAATAGAGGCAAAGGCTGAGCATGGTGCCTGGCAGGTAACGAGTGCTTGAATGGTACCTATCTACGTACATACAGCTCCGCATCAAGAGGCTGCCCTATTGCACTTCATATCCTCAAACCTCTTCTGTCACATTTCATGGAGCTTTATTGTTTATGAAATGCTTTTCCTTCTATCACCTACTGTTCTGTAAAGACAGTGTAGTGTAGTGGGAGGAGCCTGGCTGGGCACACACAGACCTGGGACAGAGGGAGACAAAGAAAAAATTTTGACATACAAACATGAGCAAGGGATTGAGGCCTTGGTCCTGAAAGGAAAGAAAAGATGGGATTCCTTCCTATTCACCACTATGATAACAGTAAGAATCTTAGATGACAGTGTGAAAAAAGTGTTGCCTACCCCTTCTATCAGCAGGAAGAGAGAAGAACTGTATTCACAGACAGGGAGTGGCCTAGCCGTGGTGGGGATAGCCTCTTTCCAAAGCAGGCCCACTCTGCGTCTCCCGCCCTCCTCCCTGTGCACCAGGCACCTGCCTCCAATATGCTGAGAGGCAGTAGCGACCGGCAGGGAGGGGTTTTCCTTGACCATGAAAGTCACTGAGTCCAGCCTGACCTACGCTGATGTCATCAACCTGACCCTGTGCAACATGAAGAAGCGAAGGGACAACCTCCTGCAGCTGACCCAGTTCCGGTGCAATGAATGGAGTTACTTTGACGAGTACCTAGCGGAGCTGCAGGACAACTTCCTCAGGTGAAATCGTAGGCGCCAGAGTAACTCTGATGTGGGGGCTAGCCCCATGCCATCCTAAGCACATTCAGCTTTCCTTGTGGCCAGAATGTAAACTCCACGAGAACAGAGACCAGATCTTCATTTCATTCAAACATTGACTGGGTTTTAGATGATATTAAGGAATTCCTTTTGGTGTGTTCCTTTTTAAAAGGTATTATAATAGTTTTGTAGTTGTGTTATTTTCTAAGAGTCATATCTTAAGGAGATACATAATGAAGTATTTATGAATGAAATGACATGGTGTCTAAGATTTGCTTTAAAATAACCCACTTGGTGTGGGTATTGGTGTGGGGACACGGAGTGATAGGTTAGTCGAGATTGGCCTTATGTTGGTAACTGCTGACGTTAGAGAACGGGTAAATGGTGTTCTATACTCTTCTTGCTCTTTGACCATGCCTGCCTACTTTATTTACTTTTATATATAAATTTTATGTTATAAAATTTCAAATAGGTTTTTTTGAAATTTTGTTATAAAATTTCAAATAGATTTTTTTTTAAATGGTGGACATAACAAGAACAAAGGTGACACTGTCGATGTGGAATATTCCATGCAGATGGGCTGGGCCCTTTCGGACATGAGTCACCACTCTTTTCTCTAATAGAGCACATCGGTTAGGTCACAGGGGTCGGCAAACTCATTAGTCAACAGAGCCAAATATCAACAGCACTTCTTCAAAATAGACTCGCCCAGGCCGGAAACCGACTTCTGCACATGGGACACGAAGTTTCAATCGTACTGTATGTGTGCGCCCGCGTGATGTTTTGTGGAAGAGCCACACTCAAGGGGCCAAAGAGCCGCATGTGGCTCGCGAGCTGCAGTTTGCCGACGTCGCGACCCCTTTGGCTGGCGCTGACGCTGGACGGACTGAAGCTCTGGCTCCCACTCTCTCATTCTGTGTGAACTCGGTCCCTCAGCCCTGGGGGCTTGCGTGCCACCTACATGACAGGGACATTCACAGTAGTGCTCATGGAGTGGTTGTGCGAGTGAAAGATGTCCAGCTCAGTGCCTGGCTCAAAGGAAGTGAATGACGGCTGTTAGAGAATACACACAAGCCCATAACACGAAACTGCAAGGTCCAAAGGGAAGTATGCGGTGGGAGGCCTGGAGCAGCCCTCCCTCCCCCCGTCCCCCCAGGAAAGGCAATCCAGCAACTATTTTGCAAGGTTCTCTGCTCTGAGTGAGGAAGAGCCTCGTTTGCACACGCAGGTGGAGCCATGCGGGGAAGGAGCAGGGACAGTGCTGCTGGAGAATTCGTTTTCTTGTGAGTCGGAGGCCTGATCCTCACACTTGTCTAGGGCAAGCATCCACAACTCGGAAGGCTTTTTGCAGAGCTCTCTGAAATGTTTCCACACAGGACTCTTCTACAAGCTCAGGATCCTCTTACTAGTGGAAAGCAGGAGCCGAAGACATGTGCAGGCTGCCACATCTCAAGAAATGACAGCGCAGAAAATATTATCCAGGAATTACATCCAAGTTTTTCCGTTAGAAAACGTGATCATAACAAGGACAACTGGCCGCTGGTTTCGATCTCTTCATTGCGAGCAGAAGCAGGCGCCGGAAAGTGAAGGCAAGGTTGTGGCAGAAGATCGCGAAAATGAGAATGTTGTGTAACACCGTTCTTCCCTTTGACTTGGGAAAAGACCCCATCGTTGGAATAACTGCTGGTTGAGGCACAGCTCAAAGCTAGTTTTTAAATATCTGTCCTTCTCCATCTATCCTCCCACAGCAGAGAAGAATAGGACGACATCTTACTTCACTCTAACATGTATTTACTGCTATTTTGTCTGCCTTGAACACCCATAACCAGCTGCTCCATCAAGCAGATGTCCACATTTCAGAAGTCAGCTGGTATATTACCCAACTCAGCATTCCCACTGTGCACCCCAAGCTTATCTAAAGACAGTCCACTGAAAACCTCCTGTAATGCCAGCAGCAGCAGCCAACATTGTCGAGCACTTCCTGTGTCCCAGGCACTGTGCTAAGCGACTGTCCTGTGGTAACTCAACCCTCCACACGCCTTAGGTCAGCGGTTCTCAACCTGTGGGTCGCGACCCCTTTGGCGGTCGAATGACCCTTTCACTGGGGTCGCCTAAGACCATCCTGCATATCAGATATTTACATGACGATTCATAACAGTAGCAACATTACAGTTATGAAGTAGCAACGAAAATAATTTTATGGTTGGGTCACAACATGAGGAACTGTATTTAAAGGGCCAGAAGGTTGAGAACCGCTGCTAGGTGCTATTATTCCCGTGTAGAGGTGAGTACTCGGCGTGGAGAGGTGAATCCATTGGCCCCAGGTCACACAGCAAGTGCAGAGCTCCGACTGGAATTCAGCCGCCCTCCAAGCTCAGCTTCAGCTTCCTTCCGGGTGGTGGATCCCTCGCCTCCTCCTAATTGGAGGATGTGTTCCTTGGGTCAAGGGCTGCCCATTTTGCTCTCTGTTCCCAGGGCTGCTGGGACCTCAGTCACACAGCAAGGGCTGAGCTGCTGCTCCGAGACTAGCTCTCTGTTTATCAGTTTCTCTTGACAGGTGTCATGAATGAATATGTAAATACTTGCCTCTCTTTACCTACGAAGATAGGAGAGAAAAGTTCATACGGGCTCTGTAGTCTTTTTCCCTATGTGTCTTTTCTCCCACAGGGAGACGAAGAATTTAGACCAAAGAGAAGCCGATAAAAAAAGGGCAAACCGCACATTCATCCCACCTCCAGCCTTTTATGAGGAAACCCTGGAAAAGAAACCTAAAGCCGACCAGGAGAAGGAGACCGAATTTCTTCTAAGGTTTGTTCAAAAAAAAAAAAGATCAGAGGAAAAGTAGAAATCTGAGCAATGTAAGAATTCTTAATAATGGAAAAGTACATCAAAGTTCACTCACTCTTCTGTGTCCCTCGGTTCTCACTTTTAAAGTAGCCATGGTAGCAGGAAGAGTTGCCAGTGATTTTGTACTTCCTCCGTGTCAAGTGTTTGTTCTTTCTGAGATGCATGGGTCAGAGCTCTTTGGTTGCAAGGGCCAGGAAACCAGCTCAGACTAGCTTGAGCAGAAGGAAAATCTAGTGGCTGCAGTAACCAGGCAGCCCACAGGTAAGTTGGCTGCAGGCACGTTGGTCCTAAGGGCTCAATGATATTTTCAGGATCGCTTAGCATAACACTCTCCAGGTCCCTCCATGCTGTCTCAAAGGGTAAGAGATCCTTCTTTTTTACTGCTGCATAGTATTCCATGGTGTAAATGTACCACCGCTTTTTTATCCACTCCTCTACTGATGGGCACTTGGGGCTGTTTCCAAATCTTAGCTTCTAAAGCATAAAAAAAGATAATTTCGCCCTAGATGTTTTGGCTCAGTGGCTAGAGTGTCGGTCTGTGGACTGAAAGGTCCCAGGTTTGATTCCAGTCAAGGGCACATGCCTGGGTTGCGGGCTTGATCCCCAGTAGGGGGTATGCAAGAGGCAGCCAGTCAATGATTCTTTCTCATCATTGATGTTTCTGTCTCTCCCTCTGCCTTCCTCACTGAAATCAATAAAAATATATTTTAAAAAATAAATTATCTTTTTTTAAAATACATTTTTTATTGATTTCAGGGAGGAAGGGAGAGGGAGAGAGAGATGGAAACATCAATGATGAGAGAGAAACATTGATCGGCTGCCTTCTACACGCTCCACACACTGGGGATTGAACCCAAAACCTGGGCATGTGCCCCGACCGGGAATCAAACAGTACCCTCCTGGCTCATAGGTAGATGCTCAACCACTGAGGCACACCAGCTGGGCTTCTTTGTTATCTTTTTAATGTCCGTAGGATCTGTAGTGATGTCTCCTCTTTCATTTCTAAGATTAGTAATTTGTGTCCTTTCTTTTTTTTCTTCTTAGTTAGCAAGGCTAGAGGCTTATCAATTTTATTGATCTTTTCAAAGACCCAGCTTTTGGTTTTGTTGATTTTCCCTATTGATTTACTATTTTAAATTTTATTTATTTATGCTCTAATTTATTTGTTTTTAAATTTTTGAACAGTTGGGTTTATTTCAACAGCAAATGTGAAACTCATGCTTTAGGCAAGAGTACTACAGTAATTATATCAGGAATAGATGATTTCATACACTGTGTGCTCTAACTTTTTTTATTCTTTTCTTTTGCTTACTTTGGATTTAATTTTTTGCTCTTATTTTTCTAGTTTGCTCTTATTTTCTAGTCAAAACTTAGATTGATTTTAGATCTTCTTTGGCAATATCTATTATATAAAAAGCCTGTGGTCATCACACCATCATGCCTTAATGACCAATCAGCAGGAAGCTGCATTCGTGGGGTGGGCGGGGCTGCATGCGCAGTGAGGCGTGTGCAGTTGGGCAGGGACTTGACTCTGGAGGACTTGACAGGAGGTGTGGGCGGGTATCTGGGTCCCGCCTCCCACAGCAGCGGCAGCGGTGGCAGCCATGGGACTCTTTCTGGGTCCCTGAGCCACAGGACTCTGGGTCCTGGGTCTCACGCGATTTTGCGCGCTGGGCCCTTAGTATGTATATAATGCTATAAATTTCTCTCTAAGCACTGCTTTCAGCATCCCCCAAATTTTAATAAGTTGTATTTTCATGTTCATTTAGTTGAAAGTATTTTAAAGTTTCTGTTGAGATCTCTTCTTTGACCCATGTGTTACTTAGAAGTATGTTATTTAGAACAGTGGTTGCCAACCTTTCGGACCTCACGGACCACCAGTGGCCCGCGGACCACCGCTTGGCGACCGCTGATTTAGAAGCATGCTCTTTCTCTCTCTAGATCAGGCCCATGGCTTTCCCCCATCTCCTTCCCCCAGGCATGTTTTCTTTGCCTTTCTTTTTCCTAAGCTCCAAGGACCCTTCTTTGGCCTCTGTAACTTATTTCCTGAGCCCACACAGCCCAGCTGGCTCACTTCTTCCAGGACTCACTTCTGGCTCTGTGACTGTCTAAATCAGGGGTTCTCAACCTGTGGGTCGCGACCCCTTTGGCAGTCGAACGACCCTTTCACAGGGTTCACCTAAGACCATCCTGCATATCAGATATTTACATTATGATTCATAACAGTAGCAACATTACAGTTATAAAGTAGCAACGAAAATAATTTTATGGTTGGGTCACAACATGAGGAACTGTATTTAAAGGGCCAGAAGGTTGAGAACCACTGGTCTAAATAAACTTTTACTTGTATTTGGCGGGGGAGGTATGTTATTTAATCTCCAAGTATTTGGGGGCTTTCCAGTTCTCTGTTATTGATTTCTATTTGATTCCATTTTGGTCTGAGAACAGACATTGCGTGATTTCTGTTCTTTTAAATTTATTTTTTTTTTAAATCCTCACCTCAGAATATTTTTTTCCATTGATTTCCAGAGAGAGTGGAAGGAAGGGAGGAGGGGGAGAGAGAGAGAAAAAAACATCTTTTTTTGTTGTTTTTAATATATTTTTATTGATTTCAGAGAGGAAGGGAGAGGGAGAGAGAGGAGAGAGAAACATCAATGATGAGAGAGATTCATTGATCAGGTGCCTCCTACACTGCCACCCCCACCCCCACCCCGGGGATCAAGCCCGCAACCCTGGGATGTGCCCCTGACCGGAATCAAACCCGGGACCCTTCAGTCCGCAGGCCTACACTCTACCCACTGAGCCAAACCAGCTAGGGCAGAAACATCTTGATCAGCTGCCTCCTGCACCCCCACAGAAGCTAGGGAACCTGCAACTGAGGTACAATGCCCTTGACCGGGAATCGAACTTGCAACCCTTCGGTCCATGGGCCGATGCTTTAAGCACTAAGCCAAACTGGCCAGGGTTCAATTTCTTCAGGTATATTTTTTGGCCCAGAATGCAACCTGTCATGGTATATGTTACAGGTAAACTTGAGGAGAACGTATATTCTACTGTTGTTGGGTGGTGTGGTCTATAGATAACAATTATATCTAGTTGATTGATGGTATTGCTAAGTTCAATTATGTCCTTACTGACTTCCTGCCGGCTGCACCTGTCATATTCTGATAGGCAGTGTCAGTCTCCAACTGTGTAGTGGATTCATATATTTGTCCTTGCCGTTCAATCAGTTTTTGCCTCATGCAGCTTGATGTTCTATTGGTAGGAGCATACACGTTAAGAATTATGTCTTCTTGGAGAATTGACCTCTTTATCATTATATAATAACCTTATTTATTCCAGATAACTTTCCTTGCCTTAAAGTCTGCTTTGTCTGAAATTAGTATAGCTACTTCTGCTTTCTTTTTTCTTTTCTTTTTTAATTAAATTAATTTTTTTATTGTTTAAAGTATTACATATGTCTCCTTTTTCCATGATTGACCCACCAGGACAAGTTGAGAGATCTTTTTTTTAAAATTTTGTTTTATTGCTTAAAGTATTACAAAGAGTATTACATATTTCTCCTCCCCCCCCTTGACTCTTATTCACTTTTAAAAATATATATATTTTTATTGATTTTAGAGAAGAAGGGAGAGGGAGAGAGAGATGGAAACATCAATGATGAGAGATAATCATTGATTGGCTGCCTCCTGCATGCCCCCTACTGGGGATGGAGCCCGCAATCCGGGCATGTGCCCAGTCTGGGAATTGAACTCTGATCTCCTGCTGATTCGTAGGTCAAGGCTCAATCACTGAGTCATGCCAGCCGGGCTCTGATTCTCTTTTATATCCTTGGTGTTCAAGTTGGGGCCTACAATATAGAAGGGACTCAATAAATATTTGATGAATAGATGTGGAGTCAATGGACCACTGTTTGATAATCTGTTCAGAAATGGAATCATCCAGATTGAAGCTTTTACATGCACTTGCAAAGTCCCAAGCAGAGACAAGAATGCTAGTGCCTGAAGCCCTGACACCTGGAAAGCTTGATTCTCTCAATCTGTCTACTTTCTGCCAGATTCTCCCAAGTAGTGCCTACTCTTGGACTCTTGATTCCCTATTCCACGTGCCAGACAATTCATGCCGCCACTCCTTGCTATTACTCTGTAATGCAGATTGCTCGCCTAGGATGCCAACTGTTGTCTGTGTCCATGTTCTCAGTATTCTGTGTCCTGCATTCCTAGCTGCATTTTTCCCCATCACTTGTAGCGGCATTCCAATGGCTGTCTTCACCTGGTTCCTCCCAATTTATCCTTTCCTCCATGGTGTGGCAATGTATAAGCAGGAAAGAAATGGCAAGCACAAAGGCTGTAACTGAGAGAATTCTATGAAAGTATCATCTAAAGAGGTATAGGCGAGGTTAAGAGAACCAAAAGGCTTGGTAAAGCATCCAGGGATCAGCAATGGTGGGAAATTATTGCCATCCCAGAAGCAAAGGGGCTAGAGTGAGCAATAGTGTTTTGGGAGCCTAGAAAAAGGGTGGAGTCTTAGAAAAAGAACTGCTGGACAAAAGCTGTAACCTCAGAATAAAACCACTGCCAAAAGTGTGACCAAGCGGCCCTAGCCGGTTTGACTTAGTGGATAGAGCATTGACCTGGAAGTGAAAGATCCTGGGTTTGATTCTGGTCAAGGACACGTGCCTGGGTTGTAGGGGGCGTGCAGGAGGCAGCTGGTGATTCTCTCTCATCATTGATGTTTCTATCTCTCTCTCCCTCTACCTTCCTCTCTGAAATCAATACAAAATATTTTTTTTCCATTGATCTATATGTCTGTTCTTGTGCCAGTACCAGGCAGTTTTGAGAACAGTGGCTTTGTAATACAGTTTGATATCTGGTATTGAGATCCCACCTACTTTGTTCTTCTTTCTCAGGATCGCGTCAGCTATTTGCGGTCTTTTTTTTAATTCCAGATGAATTTTTGGAGAGTTCGTTCTAGGTCTGTGAAATATGCCGTTGGTACTTCTGCTTTCTTTTGATTAGTGTTAATTAGCATGGTATATTTTTCTCCATCAATTTACTTTTAACTGCGTTCTCTTTTTTTATTATGATGATTGATTTTAGGGAGAGAGAGAGAGAGACATTGATTGGTTATTTCACTTATTTATGTTTTCACTGGTTGATTCTTGTATGTGCCCTGACCAGGGATCGAACCTGTAATCTTGGTGTATGGGGATGATATTCTGACCAACTGAGCTACCCAGCCAGGGCTTAACCCTATTCTCTTTTAAGAAACATTTCCAGAAGTCCCAGACATTTCCACATATACCTCATTGCTAGAACATTCTACATGACTACAACATCTTCCTTTTTAAGAAAATATCATTTTAAAAAGCATTTTGAGCCCAGCCGGAGTGGCTTAGTGGTTGAGCATCGACCTATGAACCAGGAGGTCATAGTTCAATTCCCGGTCAGGGCACATGCCCAGATTGCGGGCCCAGTGTGGGGCATGCAGGAGGCAACCAATCAATGATGCTTTCTTATCGTTGATGTTTCTATCTCTTGCTCCCTCTCCCTTTTTCTATGAAATCAATAAAAATATGTTATTAAAAAAAAAAAAAAGAAGAAGCACTTTGAGTCCAGCTGGTGTGGCTCAGTGATTGAGCATCAACCCATGAACCAAGAGTTCACCAGTTCGATTCCTGGGCAGGGCACATGCGTGGGTTGCAGGCTCGATCCCCAATGGGGGGGGGGGGGCAGTGCAGGAGGCAGCCAATTGATGTTTTTTTCTCATCAATGTTTCTATGTATCTATCCCTCTCCCTTCCTCTCTCTCTAAAAATATCAGTAAAACATTTTTAAAAATTCAGCTTGCAAAAAACAAAAAACTATTCTGAATGCTCTTTTATAATTATATAATTACTAGAGGTCCGGTGCACAAATTCGTGCACCAGTGGGGTCCCTCGGCCTGGCCTGCGGGATTGGGCCGAAACTGGCTCTCCAACATCCCCTGAGGGGTCCCAAATTGCAAGAGGGTGCAGGCCAGGTCAAGGGACCCCACCAGTGCAAGATTGGGGCCGGGAAGGGATGCGGGAAGTTGGCCAGCCAGGGAGAGACCGTGGGAGGGCTTCAGAGCATGTCCAGCCCATCTAGCTCAGTCCTGATTGACCAGACCCCAGCAGCAAGCTAACCTACCGGTCAGAGCATCTGCCCCTTGGTGGTCAGTGCACATCATAGCGAGCGGTTGAGTGGCCTTAGCATATCATTAGCATATTACGCTTTGATTGGTTGAACGACCAACCAGTCGACCGGACACTTAGCATATTAGGCTTTTATTATATAGGATTACTATTTTATAATTTTGTTGAGGTATAATTTACTATAAAATCTGCTCATTTTAAGGGTACAGTATTTTTTTAGTAAATTTATATAGTTTTGCAACAATTACTACAATCTAGTTTTAGAACTTTTTTTATCACTCCAGAAAGATCCTTATGCCCATTTGTAGTCAATCCCAATTACCTCCCCCCCTTTTTCATAATCTCCCTGGAAGTACCATATTACATTACCACTTTATTTCAAGGGCCAGATATTAGTCCCATTAGTTTCAAAGAAGGCTGGAAAATATAGGTGTTTTTATTTTATTTTATTTTATTTATTTTATTTTATT